GATTCCAACCAAAGAATGGTGGAAGACACCAAGCAAAGGAAAAGAACCAGGCACCAGCTATCCTTAACATGGCACCTCCAGACGTCAGTGGCTCAGCAGAAACTCCTTTCACAATAACGTTGTATCGATCAGCAGTGATGAATACCATGGTCCAAATTGAAATACATCCGAAAAGTGAACCAAGGAAACCATAGATCTCACAGAATAGTGCTCCAAGAGTCCATGTCTGCCAGTAACACGACACCACCATAGGGGGGAACATGGTGAGCATCATCAAGAAGTCGGAAAAGGCCAGATTAACGACCAGCAGATTAGCAGGCGATCGAAGAGATTTGGTGGTCATGAAAACCCAGATGACGACGAAGTTTCCACCTAAAGAGAGACTTCCCATGACAACCATCCAGAAACCAACAAGACTGTACCAAAGAGGGTTCATGGGAGGATATTGATACCAGTGCTCATGCACCATATGGAGAATCTCCTTCGGCGCAGTGTCAACCACCGTATAGTTGCCATATGGATTGGTGGTTTCCAGAACGGTGACCGGATTTGGGTTGTTCCACGACGACATCTGTGACGAGATACGAAATATAAAATGAGGGTAGAATTTATTTGTATATTTATGTTATTACTGGAGACCTTTAATATAATTATATGTGCATTTACATATACATGTGTGTATGCATATATACATATAAGTAGATATATCTATATACCTGTATATGCATATATGTGTATACATATGTATGTGTATCTATTATGCATGTGCATATATACGTATACATATATGTATATATATGTATGTTAATAGATATATACTCTAGATATGTATATATATAATGTATGTGTATACATATACACATATACATATATAGATATATAGGCATATATGTATAAACACATACATGTATGTGTAAATATAAATAAATATATATATTTATATATATGCATATATACACTTGCGTGCTCGTGCATGTATATACATATATACACATACATATACACACATGTGTGCGTATGTATTTTTATGTATATATGTATATATACAAACGTGTGTATACATACACAGATATGTCTGTGTGCGTAGGTTTAAAACTAACAATATATAATTTTACAAAAACATATTAACACTTACATTTTCTTTTTTAAACGACCCCCTAACTGAGCCAAAGAACTTCTTCCAAGGACTACTTTAAGCTCAGCTCCCTCTGCTGAGTCGGAACTCCTGACAGGTAACTGCGCTCTGGTGAGACGCGACAGGTCTTAAATATGAACGTATAACTCGATTTACCCAAACCTGACACTGTCACTGTAAAAGGAGTTAATTAGAGTTCCTTTAGGGGTAAAGCTTAAGAAAACAATCCATTTCCACAAAAAATACATATCTACATATAAACATTTGTTTCTCTCTACATGCGTAATATGTACATATATATATGTGTGCGTCTGCGTGAATGCATGCTTGTATGCGAACAGAGTAACGTGAACAAAGATGAAATTAAATACTGCCATAATAAGAAGGGGAAAAACTATTTGTGACGTTTCGAGTGTAACTAGTCTTATTTTAAAAAATGCCTAATGGGGACTAAGCTCTGATTCGAAATCTACCGACGTATCTTACCTTTCTCGTTGGGGCCGCGATTCATTGCATGTCCGTATGTCATGTATTTACATGATTTTATTTTGGGAAAGATGCTTTATATTAATTCTTCTGTTGTGTTTCCATTGTTATTATTATATGGAACCTTATTGCTGAGAATGTTCTAACCAAACTTTACCAAAACCAATACAATCAAAACCTATACAATCAATATACGTGCAACACGTATTCATACTGTATGACTTAATAAATTCACATACACAGATGCACGCGTGTGTGTGTAGGAAGATAAAGAGATTATAGAGATTATCAAAGGAAAGGCACATTAAAGTATATTTGATTTTTTTAGTTCTTAGGAATTCGTTTGATACAAGGACTTTTCATTTTATCCAATAAACTATATGCTGTAGATATTTTTTCTTTCTTTTTCACATCTTTACCAGAACGTGAATTTTATAAATTGATATATATTCATTTATATATATACACAGATACTTACCAGTTTAGGACAATGCTAGCCTATAAATGTATACGTACGGAAAGATGCCGATAAATAACATGAATCTAATTCAGTTTTATTCGGTTAGAATATCCATAATCAAAATGCATACAAAAATTAACAGATTTTCGGGGTAGGCTAAGCATATTGTCTTCACTGCATCATTTCAGCTTTGAATTGCTGAAGGTCGATGTAACCGCCCCTTCTTTCGTCCTTTATTTATCTTACTCTCTCTTTTTACCATATATCTAGCTTTTTTACTCTTTGACAACCATCTAGCATTGTTGGTTATTTATTTAAAAATGGAATAGACCGTGTGAGTGTATGCGTAGGCTAACTTGTGAATACTGTATGACTTAATAAATTCACATACATAAATACATGCGTATGTGTGTAAGAGGATAAAGAGATTATAGAGAGATTATCAAAGGAAAGGCACATTAAAGTATGTATATATATATATCTTTTTTTAGTTCTTGGGAATTCGTTTGACACAAGGACTCAAGAACGTACCAGAGCCTATCAATGCACCTAGGGCAATATTTGAAGGCTACTTGAAGTTATAGTATCTGTTGAAAAACTATGAATGTGCAGTGTTTCGAGCGTTGTTGTCTTTTGTTTATATATTTATTTTCCTGATACAATAAACTAAATATAACACATTTGCTAGGCACAGCGAATATCACATTCATTATGATTTATGGTTCTTGTTTTGCGCACACAATGACGTAGAAGTTCCAGATGGTGAACAGTAACCATCGGCTTGTTAAACATTCCCCTCCAGCTAATGACGACGTAGGTCATGAGTCACAAAGGGTTATAGAGGAACTTATGACAATGTTATCCGCCAGACTTTTCTTCCGCTTAGTGTTAATCGCTCCTCAAATGCATAACTAAAGTGGTTAGCTTTGTTTAGGCATTTTTAGATGTATACATGTATAAAACTATGTGTATCAGTATGTATATGTGTATTGTATATGCATATATACATATATGATTATATATGTGTATATGTATATGCATATGTGTCTGATGTGTGTATGTGTATAAGTGTATATGTTATATATATATATATACATATGTATAACATGTGTAAATATATATAAACATCACATCATGGATACATATTGTCTAAAAAATGGTTTCGAAATCGTAACTTGACTTTACAGGGAAGTGAAACATAAATTATTGCTGGGATATATTTGCAGTTTAGCAAATAAAGGGGTTACATTTTCGCCATCAGGATCCGTAGGCCTCTCTATGCAGATTCCGACTTTTCTGTACTTTCAGCAGTGGTAGTCGAACCAGAATCAGAACTACCACCGTCTTTACCCTCAGTAGCACAGGATAGACAGGGTAGCTTCTTCTCAAGGGCAGCTCGATATTTAGGATGGCTGATGGCGTACACGATGGGGTTGTAGACGGCGTTGGCCTTGGCGAAGACGGAACCCCAGATAGAAAACAGAGGAGTAACCATGGTCCGGTTGAACATTCCTCCCCAGTTAATGACGAAGTATGGAGTCCATGCTACGAACCATAGGGTAACGGTCATTAGAGCAACCTTGCACAGACGACACTCAGCAGAGGTCTTTTGGGCTTCTTCACTCCTCAAGGACTTAACTCCCATCTTCTTGGCTTGTTCTCGCATTCCCTTCTCGTGGGCAGCTACAGCCTTGACGATGAATGTGTAACTGTAAATGATGTAGGCAAGAGGGAAAAGATATACCCACACTGAGTAGACATACAAGTAACTCTTTGAAAATTCTGTTTCCGTCAAATAGTCTGTTCCACAGGCAGTCATGTTACCCTCAGGAACATATCGATTCCAACCAAAGAATGGTGGAAGACACCAAGCAAAGGAAAAGAACCAGGCACCAGCTATCCTTAACATGGCACCTCCAGATGTCAGTGGTTCAGCAGAAACTCCTTTCACAATGACGTTGTATCGATCAGCAGTGATGAATACCATGGTCCAAATTGAAATACATCCGAAAAGTGAACCAAAGAAACCATAGATCTCACAGAATAGTGCTCCAAGAGTCCATGTCTGCCAGTAACACGACACCACCATAGGGGGAAACATGGTGAGCATCATCAAGAAGTCGGAAAAGGCCAGATTAACGACCAGCAGATTCGCAGGCGATCGAAGAGATTTGGTGTTCATGAAAACCCAGATGACGACGAAGTTTCCAGCTAAGGAGAGACTTCCCATGACAACCATCCAGAAACCAACAAGACTGTACCATAGAGGGTTCATGGGAGGATATTGATACCAGTGTTCATGCACCATATGGAGAATCTCCTTCGGCGCAGTGTCAACCACCGTATAGTTGCCATATGGATTGGTGGTTTCCAGAACGGTGACCGGATTTGGGTTGTTCCACGACGACATCTGTGAAGGGATACGAAATATAAAATGAGGGTAGAATTTATTTGAATATCTTTATGTTATTACTGGAAACTTTTAATATAATCATGTGATTTCCATATACATATGATACATAAGATATATCTATATACCTCTATATGCATATCTGTGTATACATTATACATTATTATTAGTGTATCTATTATACATGTGTATATATACGTATATACGTATATATGTCAACAAATATATACTTTACATATATATGTATATATAATGTATATGTGTATATGTATACACGTATAATCATATATAGCTATATAGACATATGTATAAACATACATGTATATGTATGTATACACCTGCTCATGCATGTATATACATATACACATATGTGTGTGCGCATGTATGTTTATGTATATATACAATCATGTGTATATATACATATATATGTGTGCGTATGCTCCAAAATTAACAATATATACTTTTACTAGGACATTGATACTTACATTTTCTTTTTAAAACGACCACGTAACTGAGCCAAAGAACTTCTTCCAAGGACTACTTTAAGCTCAGCTCCCTCCGCTGAGTCGGAACTCCTGACAGGTAACTGCGCTCTGGTGAGACGCGATAGGTCTTAAGTATGAACGTATAACTCGATTTACCCAAAACTGACACTGTCACTGAAAAAGGAGTTAGAGTTCCCTTAAGGATAAAGGAAGCTTAAGAAAACAATTCATTTCCACAAAAAGATACATATCTACAAATAAATATTTGTTTCTCTCTACATACGTAATATGTACATATTCATATATATGTGTGCGTTTGTGTGTGTGAATGCATGCTTGTATGCGAACAGAGTAACGTGGCATTAATACTGCCACAATAAGAAAGGAAAAACTGCTTGTGACTTTTCGAGTGACTAGTTTTTTTGTTTTTTTTTTTCTTTTTAATGCCTAATGGGGACTAAACTCTGATTCG